GAAAATAAAACATAAAACAACAATGATGTCACCCTCAAGGAATATCATTTGATAATAAATAATAATAATAATAATAATAAATTACATTTATATAGCGCTCTCATTTGATGTGACGCAATGATAATAGTCCGTCCGTCAACGTCCCGACAGAGACCAATACACCAACAGAGGAGAATAATTATCTCCAGCAAAATAGAAGAATTTGAAGAACTAAAGGTTACAATGACTTGTGGCTTCTGCTGTGGCCGATGAGATCAATTCTGGCAGAGAAAAAATTGCCACATTTTGAACATTTAAAGGCTCCACTTCCACTTGCTGATTTGTGCTGCTTGCGAGCGTCCTCTTTCGGTTCCAACAGTCCTAATTTGAGAAGCCTCAAATGATTTTGTGGGGGCTCTCGTGGCCTAGAGGTTAAGGTGTTGGCCTCTCATTCAAAGGTCCCGGGTTCGAATCCGGGTAGCGACCGAAAAATGTTCTTCTCTAAATTTGTCTCCTTTCACCTTCTTTCCTGCTCTCTAGCAATATTCTGTCGTCTGCTTTCGTCTCCTCTTTTTTTTGGACTGGTGGTTTATTGTTTTGTTTGTTGAATGGGGAATCTAACAACAATAATCAACCAACAGTTGAACAGAGTTATGATGAGTCATTAATCGTTCAAAACAGATACCCACCCACACGATGTTCAACGTTTGACTATTCCCGTGTTTCCCGTGGACTCCTCAGGTGTGAAGAGAGGTGTCTATTTGCCGCTCTTGTTCTCTGTGTGTGTTGCTCTACTGCTCCCGGCACTGACCAGTGGCCACGGGAGACTGCTGGAGCCACCCAGTCGACAGAGTGCCTGGCGGGCGGGGTTCAAGACTCCCATCAACTACGACGATCATGCCTTATATTGTGGGGGGAGATCGGTAAGCTTGGTTTGTTGTTGTTGTCGTTGTTGTTGTTGTTCTTCTTCTTCTTCTCTCTCGTAAACGTGAAATTGCGGGTTCGGGGGTTCGAACCTCAGCTCGGTCCGACGTTGTGTCCTTGGGAAAGGAGACACTTTACATGAACTTCCTACTTGGCTCGGTCCTATCGGAGACGGACGTTAAACTAGGAGGTCCCGCCCCTTAAATAACCTAATAGTGTTGATAGGGGCGTTAAACCAATACCATTTCACCATTTCACCATTTTCACCATTCCCACCATGTTCACCATTTCACCATTTTCACCATTTCACTATTTTCACCATTGTCACAATTGTCACCATTTCACCATTTTCACCATTGTCACCATTTCACAATTTCACTATTTTCACCATTTTACCATTGTCACCATTGTCACCATTGTCACCATTGTCACCATTGTCACCATTTCACCCTTTCACCCTTTCACCATTTCACAATTTCACCATTTTTACCATTTCACCATTTTCACCATTTCAACATTTTCACTATTTTCACCATTTCACCATTTTCATCTTTTAACCATTTTCACAATTGTCACCATTTCACCATTTTAACCATTTCACCATTTTAACCATTTCACCATTTCACCATTTCATCATTTTCACCATTTCACCATTTTCACCATTGTCACCATTTCACTATTTCACCATTTCACCAGAACGAGTGGGACGTGAATGGCGGGAAGTGCGGGATATGCGGCGATCCTTGGCAAGGCCCCAGGAAATATGAGCGGCCCAACGGGGAGCTGGTGAAGGATAACAACGTCATACCACGGACCTACAGGCAGGGTGACGTCATTGATGCCCAGGTTCAGATCACCGTCAATCACAAGGTGAGTGCGGCTTAATGATGAGTGGGAGTGCTGATTGGTTGGCAGGGCAGAATCAAGGGGTGGTGGGGTTAGGGGATAAATGAGTGTTGATTGGGTGAGGGGGTAGAATAGGGGGCGGGGATTAAGGGATAAATGAGTGTTGATTGGCTGAGGGGGTCGAATAGGGGGTGGGGTTAGGGGATAAATGAGTGT